ATAGGCCTCCCCCAAGTAATGCCACAAAACACGGTCCTGAGCCACCTGCATCCATCGACTTCCTGCATATCTTACCAGGTCGTCACTCCATCTAGTGGGGGGTCGCCCTACACTACGCCTACCGGTACGAGGCTGCCACTCGAGAACCTTTCTTCCCCATCGGTTATCGGTTCTTCGAGCTATATGGCCGGCCCATTGCCACTTCAGCTTACTAATCCGTTGGGCTATGTCGGTCAATCTGGTTTTACTGCGGATATCCTCATTTCTGAGTCTATCACGCAGAGAAACTCCGAGCATAGCCCTCTCCATAGCTCGCTGAGCGACCTTGAGCGTCCTCATACGGCCAGCAGTGAAGGACCACGTCTCTGATCCGTAAGTCATCACTGGCAACACGCACTGGTTGTACACTTTAGTTTTCAGAGATTGAGGTATACCTGACGAGAAGATATGTCGTAATTTCCCGAACGCTGCCCAGCCGAGTTGAATCCGTCGATTGACCTCTCGGTCGAAGTTGGACTTACCTAGTCGGACTATTTGTCCCAGGTAAACGTACTCGTCAACAACTTCGAGCATAGTGCTCCCAACAACTACCGGCATAGGTGTGACATGGACATTAAACATAATCTTTGTTTTGTCCATGTTCATCTTAAGACCTATCCGTTGGGAGGCACTATTGAGGTCATTGAGCATAGTGCTTAAGTCCTCCAGCGATTCTGCCATAAGGACTATATCGTCGGCAAATCGAAGGTGAGTGATGTACTCGCCATTGATGTTAATACCGTATCCTTTCCAGTCCAGTAGCTTGAAAACGTCTTCCAAAGCAGCGGTGAAGAGTTTCGGGGATATAACGTCACCCTGTCTTACACCTCTCTGCAGTTGGATAGGTTTCGAGCTCTGGTTCTGTACTCGGATAGCCATCGTAGCCCTACTGTACAAACACTTCAGCACTTCAATATACCGACAGTCAACTTGGCACCGCTGAAGGGACTGCAGCACCGCCCAAATTTCGACGGAATCAAAGGCTTTCTCATAGTCCACATACGCCAGGCAAAGTGGCAAATTGTACTCTTCAGTCTTCTGCACAATCTGCCGCAGGGTATGTATGTGGTCTATGGTACTGAAGCCTTTTCGGAAACCGGCTTGTTCGGGAGGCTGGAAGTCGTCGAGTCTGCGTGCGAGACGATTCGTAATGACTCTCGAAAACAGCACGTAGACGCGGCTCAGAAGGGAAATCGGTCTGTAGTTCTTCAAGAGAGCGTTGTCGCCTTTCTTAAAGAACAAGACCACCGCACTTCTGCTCCACGCCTCTGGAGTAGTGCCACCATGGAGGACGGAATTGAAGAGCTTCTGAAGGACTTCAAGTACCGGTGTTCCACCCGCTTTCAGAAGCTCCGCTGTAATTCCATCCTCGCCTGGGGCCCTGCCGTTTTTAAGGTTCTGGAGAGCCATTCTAATCTCGCTTAGACTGACGTCCGGGATATCATCGGAATAGTGTCGGATAAGACTTGCTCTTGGATCGTTACTCACACTTGCGTGTGGCTCCAACGATGATGTGTACAGCTGCCCATAGAACCTCTCAATCTCACTCAAAATCTCAGGTGTCCCGGAAACGATGCTGCCACACTCAGTCTTCAGCCTTGACAGTTGGCTCTTTCTGGCAGATAGATCTCTGGCAAAGACTTTGGAGCCCTGGTTCCGCTCGATCGCTTCTTTAATACGAGCAGTATTAAAGTTGCGTAAGTCTCGCCGCATGCATTTGGAGATCTGTCTGTTCAGTTGCCTGTATGCTGTCAAATCTGTTGACGATTGCAGCCTCATCTCCCGTCTAACAGCCATGAGATTAAGAGTGTGATCGGAGAGTTTTTGTGTTCTTCTGCGGCGGGTCTTGCAGAACTTAGCTCCGACCGCATGGACAGTTTCCACGAGCTTGTCATTCATATCGTCCACTGCATTGCAATCTTGTAGGCACTGAAAGCGGTTGTGTAACTCGAGCTGAAAGTTTTCGGGATTTTGGATCAGAGCACGAGGGGGACGGAGCGTTGACTTCATTAGACGAGACCTCTCCAACTTAACGTTTAGGTTCAGTGTGCCTCTAACCATTCGGTGATCGCTGCCAGTTTTCACCCTTGCGATCACTGAGACATCACTGAACAGTTGGCGTCTGGTCGTCATAATGAAGTCAATCTCATTTTTTGTCGAACCGTCGGGGCTCGACCAGGTCCACTTCCTGTGGGGCCGCTTCTGGAAGAAAGAGTTCATCATAAAGAGTCCCTCTTTCTCCATAAAGTCGGCCAGCTGCTGGCCCCTTCGGTTCCGTTGCCCTACTCCAAATTTCCCTAACTTCAGCTCACCGCTTTCTCTTGTGCCTAGTTTTGCGTTGAAGTCTCCCATCAACACCGTGTAGTGGGTTTTGGAGGAATGTATGGCTTTGGAAATATCCTCATACATTTCCTCCACCTCCTCATCGGAATGTGCCGACGTTGGTGCGTAAACCTGTATGACCTTCAGCGAATACCGTTTGGTGATTCTGAGTATCAGGTACGCGACCCTCGTCGACACACTCTCAATCTGTACAACGTTGTTGACGAGAGACTTGTGGACGATAAATCCGACACCTCCTTGGGACAGATGGTCGCCCTCCCGGTGATAGAACAAGTTGCCGGATTCGAGAATCACCGTGTCCTCCCCCTCTCTTCGGACCTCGGATAATCCTATAATACTCCAGCGCAACTTGTCTATCTCTTCTTCCAGCTCCAGGATCTTCTCGTCAGTCCTCAGTGTGCGTGCGTTAAATGTTGCCAGGTCGAGTCGTCGTAGGTGGCAACCGAACCTCCACCGGAGATTCTTAGCACCCCCTGCCCCGCCGTTACCATGGTCGCCACCGTAGCCAGGAATAGCGGGGCCGCCGGGGACTGGGGGCCGTCTATTTGTGTAATTGTTCATGGGGGGTATATTGCCATAGTTGCCACGCTTGGCGAGCGGGTTGGCAACCGCAGTTTTTTTTTTGTCGTACAGTTGCTGTTATCAGGAAGATGCTGCTGCCCATCTCCTGCCTGTCTCCCTCTGTCGCCTCTTACGACACCCACGGGAAGATATGGGGTAGTGGATATTCTTAACCGCCACTACACGGCAGTGTAGTGGCGGTTAAGAATTTATTATATTATATAGTATACTATAACTAATGTTTTTGGGAAATCGAACAAAATTTATGATTAATTTAAAATTTTATTTTCAAGCAATAACCACTTGTAAAAAACCCACACTTCGTCACAAGAACAATGTAAAATTTTGTAATTATTTTTTGTAAATATATGATTATTACACACATAACGTTTGTTTAAATTTATGACATTTACCAAATCATACCGAACCGTGCATCCTACGCAAAAATGGACCGCAGATTCGTGATCAGAGCATGCCAAAACCTTTTTTTCAGTTTAACAAACAGTAGTTACGTTGTACCAGTTCTGGCTCACTGACTCAGTGAGCCAGAACTGGTACAACGTGACTACTGTTTGTTAAACTTAATAAAGTTTATTCTATGTGTGACAGCTCGTTTTTCTTTATTACCAGTCTATGTCCGATTATCCGAATTTTCGATTATCCGAATCGACCCAATTAATTCGATAATCGGCGTTCTATTGTAATGACTTCTACAGAATTATTATGATTCTAAAGAAGTATAGATCAAGAAGATTAGATCATGATACTCGACAAAACTAAAAAGCGACACCAAAAAGAGAATGAAATAGAATAGAGGTGAAATAGAGAAAGAGAATGATATAGAAGAAGTGTATAGATTATGCATGTGATTTATGAGCAGTAAGGATTAAGGGTGAAAGTTGATTAGAAAATATTTAAGTACTTACCATGATGAAAATGAAAACTTGGAGTGATAAACTTAACCTCGTAGAGCCATGCTGCAGCTGTATTATGGTTGTAGCACGAATAGGTCGGCTCGACTGGGTAAGTATCACGCTCTCATAAAATACCAGCATAAAATAGCAGCTCTATGCCGCTTTGTTACGCATGGTGAGTGTAGAGAACCGAAGAGCCTTTTTACAAGAAACGAGGCAATCCATCTAAGTCCTCACGGGTGGCAAAACATCTGCATTTGGCTCCTAATCAAGGATAAACGTAGATTTCTATGGGCTACAGCATCCACTTAACATCAGGTTGACTGTGTGCTCGCTTGTCACTCTTATTCTATTTAAAAAAAGATAAGAAAAAGAAATATTTACTCAACAATAATAAATATTTTTCTCTACATTAATAACTAATATAAAAATAGTTTTTTAACGAAGTGGTACGATATCTTTTCTGCTTAAAAGTCCGCCTGGGTACATACCACCCACATACCAATCTTTACCTCCAAATAACACAGCTTTTTTCCGATCTGAAGAGTTCCCGAATAAGTACGAGCTGCGAGACATTTCAACTTAGTCCTAAAACGCATTGTACTTTTTGTTGCTTTCAGGTGTCCATGGGCTACAGAATCCACCTACTAGATGGCACTAGTGTTGTGCGCCACAATTAATTTCCGGTACATGGCGACACTAGTTACCACTAGCGCCATCTAGTATCGAGTAGTAGAACTAGGAGAGTCAAGATCCTTCTAGAAATTTCCATGCTAGAACTTTCTAGAACTATCGACACCTAGTCAGTCGGGACCGGTATATACTCGAACATTCTAGATGTTTCTACAGTAGAAGGTTCTGGAACTATCTGAGGCCCTATATAAGGCCGGTATAGACCGCGACCCGCGCCTGTGTTGAATGTGCGATACAAGCGATTACTTCGAAGTGATACAACTGCGAACTAAAGTGTTCAGTAGTACAATGTGTTTTGTTATTAGTGTGGTTTTAAGTTGTAATTAGTGTTCTGTAATTAAAGTGTCAATTTTGGAAGTTCACTCGGCAGTTTTTAATTGTCCCGAACCCCAAGCTCGTAACACTATTAACAACAGTTTTATTACGCAAAACCCTCGTTTGCACCTGCAGGTTACTGGAAGTAAACGGTACGTCGGTGGTGACCGGCAAGAGTCAAGAAGATTTGCAGCGGGCGATCAGTGCCGCGAGCCCCGCTCGTCTGGTGGTTCTCCGTGAGCAAAAGACTGCGAATCCAGCACCTGCTGCGCCATTTACACAAGTTAGTAGTTTTAACCCTTTTCTTCGTTTTACTAAAGGGAAACGAGACCCTTTGCACTGGAAACGAGGCTCTCCATCTTACTCCTCAGGAGTGAAATCGCATCTGCAGTTTGATTCTTAATCGAGGATAGATGTAGATGTATATGGACTGCTGTATCCTCTTCCCATCAGGTGAACTGTGTGTGACAAGTGAGCACACTTGTCGCCATGCTCGATATGTCGATGCTCGACTCAAATACGGAAATACCGGTCTTATGCAGATCTCAGATATCATGCGTCTACTATACACTTCCAATAATAAGTATACAGAAGAACCACTCTCCAGAGAAGACTGGCTAAATCGCTAAGTCATCTGTGATGTCGGTAGTTTCATATGGTATACCGGTGGGTCAAAAATAGGCCTCGGCATAGGCTTTGGAATTTATGTAGAATGCCCCAAATTCAAACTTAGTATGAATTTGTTCTTCCAGGCAGAAATTTTTGCCATACTTCAATGTGCGGAAGTCAATCTGCATTACGTTAACGAAAAAAATTATATAAACTCTGATAATCAGGCAGCACCGCTAGCGCTGATGTCAAACTTAGTGATCTCGGAGCTAGTTTGCCGACAAACTTGCCCGAGAGGGCTCAAAGAGTACAATTTGGACCTGAGCCATTTTGTGGAATCTCAAAAAAGAAATTGACCCTTGAAACTCTTTATCATAATAAATCACTTAAGATCTGGTCTGACACACCAGGCGTCAAACATTCTAAAACCTTAATCCGGGTTTTTGATCGTAGATTCGCTTCAGAAGCCCTGGGATTAAGCAAAAATAAATTGCGCATTCTGGCAAGAGCCCTAACTGGACACTGTTGTCTTAAAAACCACATGTCCATCCTGGGTCTGAGCAACTTAAGGAAGAAATGCCTGTGCATATCCTAACTGATTAAGGACCGTTAATGCGCAAATTTATATTAATAACTCTCATCTGGGAAACTATATACTCCGCTCAGAAGTGAAACTGTTCATAGCTAAGCAACTCCCATTTATTGGAGACATAGGGCTTAGGAGTGAACTAGAGCCAGAGCAGTGATCACAATAGATCTTTTAGATCGCAGTGATACTGGTCTCTTCCTAGACCTGCATAGCTGCTTGCATATAATAAAAAAGGGAAATGAAAGAGGATGTGGATAGCAGCATATTTCTGATAACAACTCCAAAATGAAAACTGCGGTTGGAAAACCATCTGCTAAGCGTGGATACTATAGCATGCTTTTGTTTGACAGTAGACTTTTGATAAGCTGAAATTAATGAAAATGAACGATTATAAATGATCTTCAGGAATGTTCTCACGCAAACGTAATACAATATGTAATGTGCAATTAAAAAAACTTGAGCAAATGCGGAAAACGATATCTTACTATATAGAGCCATGATAGCTCAGACGGTTAGCGCACGCTGTAAATTTCACAGTCCACGAGCACACCGGGTTCGATCTTCACCGGCACCAATGAAATTGTTAACTGCGATTTTAAGTGCTGATTTACCACGTGCTTGGCGGTGAAGGAAAACATCGTGAGGAAAACTGCATGTCTGAGAAATAAGAAAAAAATATTCCAAAGACATGTGAAGTTCGCCAACACGCACGCATTGTGGCAGCGCGACGGACATTTCCTTGCCCTAAAAACCTTCTCATGAATGAGAGGAGGCCTGTGGCCAGCAGTGGGACGTACGTATAGGTTGTGATTTTTTAATTTTAACGCAAAAATGTCTTAAAAACGATAAGTAGCTTATCAATAGATATCAACGGGGCGGGAGGGGGGTCAGTAAACGTCGAAATGCTCAAGTTGTTTGCCGATTATTAGATATAACTAACTGTAATAACAATACAATTTTGTCAGAACGAAGCGGCATCTCTACGGACGGAGCTGAGCGCACTGCGTGTGGCCGCGGAGGACGCGGAGCGGGCGAAGGAGAGTCTACGAGCCGACAACACGCGCCTCACGCACCGCATCTCCTACCTCGAAGAGCAGGTCGCCGAGATGCTCTCCAGGCACACGCAGGTAGACGCACACTCACTCCAACTCACTTAACCACACTCACGTACACACACGCTTACGTACACTCACACTCACGTAGACTCACACTCACGTACACTCACACTCACACTCATACACTTACATTCACACACTTACACTCACACACTTACATTCACACACTTAAACTCACACACACACACACTCGCTCTATGAGGTAAAGCCACGCTGGAGCTATACAGTTGTAGCACGAATGGGTCGGTTCAATCGGGTGAGGACCACGATCTCATAGAATACACACACAGGCCTCCGCTCATTTCTGAGAGGGTTTTAGGGCAAGTTATTGTCCGCCGCGCTGCCCCAATGCGTGTTGGCGAACTTCATACAGGTTTCCTCACAATGTTTTCCTTCACCACCGAGCACGTGGTAAATCAGCACTTAAAATTGCAATTAACAATTTCATTGGTGCCGGCGGGGATCAAACCCGGTTTCATCGCGTACTATGAAATTTACAGCGAGCGCTAACCATCTGAGCTACCACGGAAGTTTTATATAGCAGGAGCTAAATAGTAATTTAACAAACTTCATGTAGGTAATTACAAATTTCTTTTACAAACTATAAGAACTATGTTAACTGTATATATATTTTCTGATTACCGCAAACAGAGAAAGCACAGACTTATAATCCAAATAAAATCCTAAAATTTAGGATATTCTCACAGCACTTAAAAAATACTCTATTAAATTAATGCATTTGGCCTCACTCCTTCCTTAATTTATTGTGAAAATTGACAAAACCATAATTTTCTATCAATTTTTTTCTAACTGGGTTGATAGATGTAATAGAATATATTTTATTTCATTACAGCTTCACTCGGTCAGCAGCAGCGACAGCTGTATAACAGTAAACAAAACGAAGAAAAATGTTACGAACATAAATATAACGTCAGAGCCGCAACATAATAACAAACCGAGTCCAAAGTCCGAGGTCCAAGTATTTCAGAAAGGACCAGACATCACCGCTATCGTCGCCAAACTCCCCGGTCTAGACGGCGCGGAGTCCAATCTACCAATAATTAGACCAAGATCGAACGCATCAGGAGCGTCATCTAGAGTTGCGATATCGCCCAGAGCTTCACCAGCGCCCAACCATCGCTCACACAGCTCACACAGCTTGGAACATCGAGCGGGCCGCATCAGGCACTCCCTTTCCCACCACTGTATTAACGGCGCAGTCGATTATAGCGCTGAGACTGATGCCGCCATACGTATGATCGAACGAAACCAAAGACACATGGAAAAACAACGATTAAAGAACGAAAGGTTCAACAAGTCGAAAGTAGACGACCACTTTCGTTCTGACAGTGATATAGACGTCCGAGATTCCCTTTCGAAAAATAGCGACCCTAGACACTACGAAATCAAGAAAGCTGCAGACAGAATTGAGGAAAGTATAAAAAAGACCAACTGGGCGGAAAGAAAGACCTTATCTATAATAGAACAACTGAAACGATCACAGCGGATACGTAAAATGAAGAAGAATGACAGCGCCGAAGACATACAAGTAGATTCAGAAAGAAATTACATGTACGACCGAATAGATGGAAAAGTGTTAGAAAACGCTCACAAATCAAGTCGGAGATCCTCATCTTCCAAAGTGCACTCTCGAAGTGGGAAATCTTCAGAATTTGAATCCGAATGTTCCGATTTCCCTAATGGAGATGTGTACAGCAGCTCACCGAGATTAGACTATGGTTCTGAGAGCTGCTCGACACGAATGAGTCATTACAAAAAGAACGATGACAGACGAGAAGACAGCAAGTCTAGACCAACCCCCCCTAGAAAACCACTGCGATTGTCCTTGCACAAAGCTCGCAGTGCGCACTCGATATTGAACGGCACCGAATCTGAAACACCAAGTAGACCTTACTCGGAAGCCCAAAACGGAGACATTGCTCAAGAATCACCGAGCAAAAGACCAGTAAAACGAACGTACGCGGCGGACAAATGGGCACGAGAAAGAATGAGGGACCCCGGTCGAGCTACACCTCGACCTACACGGAAACTACTAAATGGCCTAAGCGCATGCGATACCCCCGCTGCTGACGACTTGTATCCAGAAACGATGCACGTGCCAATGCGTGTTAACGGCATTGTACAAGCGGCCGGGAAGTGGTGCTAGCAATTTACAACTCTCCTAATAAACCTTCAAAAGTCATACGGATTTATTGAGTCACCCACAATCATTTTGTCAACCATCTACCATAGGAAATATATAAATATCTATTACTTGAGAAAATTTCAAGCAAATACGAAATTTATCCCGGTGGCGTAAGACTAATTTTAGAATAAAAGAGCAACAAGTAAATAATTACAACCATAAACAACAATAACCACAACTTCTTGACTATTTAAAAGAGTTTACAGAGAAAGTCAAAGATCGTTTTAAACAAGACAAACATAAAGCCGTAAAATAGAACGGGTAATCATAACAACAAATATTTTAAAAAATTGGTAGAATTAATTTAAAAATCTACCTCCTAATAAACTTACTACTAACTCTGAAGGAAATCGAGGCAAACATAACAAAGACGTCTACAATATCGAATTATCGAAACTTTCTTGAGCCAATTTAAGCATGCTGACATTTTACCACTAAGAATTAGGTGTAGTAATAAAGTAGAAGCCAATGTCATACACCCTTTTCAAAAGTAAACTTTTAATTTATAATAAATAAAAAATAGATAAAAATAACGAAATTCAAATAGCGTTGTTCAAATGTACATTCTACTTTAAATGTGTAATAAATTATATTAATAACATGACCTTATTTTATTCGTGGCAACTACTCAACGAATTTGCAACGCCCTTGACCTTGAATCGACTACTAGGTAAAATATTACTTCAAATCAATAGTATTTTTATCATACCTTGATGGAAAGTTCGTATCTCGACCCTACTTTCGGGGACGAAAGTGCCACACGATTCTATGACTTATTGATTGAGTACGCATGTATGACATGACAAAAGTATACGTCATGACATGATACAATAAGCATTAGTTTCGATCAAGGTATGATAAAAAATATTCTTTGCACTCGCCTTCCGCTCTGGTGACAATACCACGCGGGTTGCGATGTCATACTTTCCTCCTTATTTGATCAATTTGATCAAATGCCAATGATAAAACAATAAATTTGTGTGTGTGTGAAAAATGTCTATGCCATAGGCTTCTACTTCATTTACCTTACACCCAAATTTTTACTTACGGTAAAAATATCCAACTGGTATATTATAGCACAGTTTAAATTCAATTCAATTCAATTCGTTTATTTGTTGTAGAGAGAGATTATAGTGATAAAATAACATTCCCTTATTAAATTGAGAAATATTTTGTAAATATCTGTAACTAAATATAAGGCCCACCGCTAAATACTCACCTGTACGTAAACTATATTTATTATAAGAAATAAATAATTTTGTAATAATTTTGTTCTTTTAATAACTCGCAGTGTAGCTTATGAATCCAATCACTCGCTATCCCGTGGATACTGTAGGAGCTGACAAGAGCACAGAATAAAGAAGCAAGAGCCAGTTTGTGCACCATTACGTAAAAATCCAATATATTGATCAACCCTAAAAAAAGCATGATCATCGCTCGTCTATCAAATCCCGTTTTTGTCAGCTGTATGGCGGCGTATCTGAATCCGTTACCCCATTTCGTCCTGTAGTTGTCGTGAGTGGCGACTATAAGATAAACTAGAAATATTACTTCAGATTCCGTTAAATAACCAGTCCATTAATGTGGAACAGCTTCAAAGAGGCGAAACATCTGGTGGGAGCTGCGATCGGTAGATACCAAGTTCAGTAGTGAACTTTTATAGGAAGAGGAATATGAATGTCAGAGAGAGAAAGAGATTTTACTGGAAGCGGGGCTCTCCAACTTAATCCTCACGGCTGATATCGCATCTTAATTTTGATTCGTAATCGATAATAGATGTAGATGTCTATGGGTCACAGTACAGCTTACCGTCAGATAAACTGTGTGCTCGTTTGTCACCCTTGTAAAAAAGAGAGGAAACCACTAGCATATAAATACTCCTACCATCCACTAGAGATTATAGCGTTACAGCGTTACAGCCTATTATAGTTCACTACTGAACATAGGCCTCCCCCATAGATTGCATCCCCGAGCGCGTTGGCAACCGCAGTTTTTTTTTTTAATTTTTTACGTTAATAGTAAGACGCTGCAGCCCATCTGATTGATTTTTCTCGCTCGCCTGTTCCGACATGGGATGATATAGGGCAGTGGATATTCTTAAACCGCCACTACACGTTACCTAGAAATTATAATATGTATGTATTAACATCATGAGTGGTTAAGACTACTAGCTAGCCGACTTTAACAATAATATCAATGTCACTCAATATCCTACTCTCACCACGAACAATTTTACGGTGATCAAAATTGGTATGGGTGTCCGGGAGATGAGACTGATATCCCTGTATCTCGAACCGGACTTACCCATTGAACCATACGTGGGCCACCTAAGACATATACTTACCAAAATGGGGAAAACCGACATACTCATAGGAGGGGACGGAAACGCGTGGAGTCCAAGGTGGGGTAAGAGAAGATAGACGAGGGGAAGTACTAGCGAGTACACTCAACGAGCTCAATCTCCACGTACTAAATGAAGGAGGTACTCCTACATTTGATACGATAAGAGGAGGGAAAACATATGAGAGTCATGTCGACATTACAGCATGTTCGGAAAATATGCTGAAGAAGTTGGAGGACCGGAAGGTTGACATTGGCATGACAAGTTCAGATCATAACACCATAATATTCAAAATTAATTCAATAGTACAATAGAAAATGAAAAAACAAGTAACACGTGCAACTTAGAAAATGTAATTGAAAATTATTTGGAAGTAATAAGAGAAACCTGTGAAAATACAATTACAAAAAACAAAAACATTAACAAACTTAACTTATCAAGGTAGAGACGCACTTGTCATGCTAAAAAAGAACATCACCACCAAAAAATGACGCATAAAATGTGCGGCTTCAGCGCGAAGAGCGCAAGGAGAGTCCATCATGTGTCTGTGAGCCTGAAACCGAGGAGACAGTGCTGCACATCCTCCTGCATCGATAAATAACAGTGAAACCGATATACAGATAATTAAAGGAAATTTACACATGTTGATGATTGAAAAAAGGACGCGAAATAAGTTTATTAAATTTTGCGAGGGTGTAGTTAATCAAGTCATCAAAAATAACCAAAAGTAAACTAAAGATGGTCAACTCCAGTCAACTTGAGTTACGCTTAACTGGAGTTGGATCTTGCCAACTCGAGTTTGGGCTTGCATAGATATAGATTGCATATGCATAGATAATCTTTTTAGAATATCATTTTTTTGCTGAAAATACTAGCTTAATTATATATATATATATATATATAGAGAGAGAGAGATAGATAGATAGATACTAGCTGCTGCCCGCGACTTCGTACGCGGATAATGTTGCTTATGCCAGCGACAACGGAGTCGTCAAAATGGAAGATCTGAAACGTCTGATGTCGAATTCTAAGGACCCGGGGACGGGAAAACAACGTGATGCGCGAGATGAGAGAGATGAAAAAATGTTCAAAACTGGAGAACGCCATCGAGGAGGCGAACAACGTCATCAAAATACAGGAAAATAAAATAAAAGATCTATCCCAAAAAAAATGTTTACCTGGAAAAATTTAATAAGGCTTTAGAGGAACGTGTCTGCATGTTGGAACAGAAGGGGCTGGACTGCAACATAGAACTGTTAAATGTCCAGGCACCAGAAGGAATGAGTACCATACAGATAGCCAGAGCGGTTGCAGACGAATTGAATTTATGTCCAGAAAAAAATTACCAAGGCTTGGAGAGTGGGAAAGATAAAGGATGGGAAGGACTCGAGGCTAATAATTGTCACACTTCAAACACGTGAAGACCGAATCCAGTGGATAGGGTGCCGAAAAAATGCCATCACTAATAGCGCAATATTTAAAAATAATAACAATACGAGAATCTATATTAATGAAAATATAACGCAGCATCTTCGACGTCTATTCTGGGAAGTTAAGACTGAATTAAAAGACTTGTATAAATATATTTGGATACAGAATGCCAGAATATTAATTAGAAAGAATGATACAGTAAAAAAAATCCATCAAATACGCACTCAGAGTGACATTAAGGCCTTTTTTAGATAATAAGAAACAAGAGTAGTAATAAGAGTAGATACGATATATATATATATACATATTGATGTCTTCTAACTTTGATCCGCATCCACAGTACCAAGATATAGAATATACGAAATACACACAAATTAATGACTGGCAAAAACATATAAATAAAGATAAAAATGCACTACATATAATACATATAAACATATGTTCACTGAGGAAACGTTTTAACCAATTAATAGCACTCATAAAAATACGCATAGACAGCATAGGCGTTATTTGTCTAACAGAAGTTAATGTAAAAACCGACGAGTTAAATTTATACAACATAGAAGGATATAACTTATACTCAAGGACTAGAGAAAGCAAAAGAGGAGGTGGTATAGTGATTTATATCAAAGAAAATCTTTCTTTTCAAATACATAGTACAAGTAGTAGCCATTGTGAAATGATACACGGCATGCTGAAAGTACGAAACTACGATCTTGATATTATAGTGATATATAGACCGCCTCACACAAACTAACAACTGTTTGTAAAAGAACTGGAACGGGTAATTCAACGAGTGCCGATTAGTCGGGATATAATCATGTTCGGTGATTACAATATTGATATTTTGGAAGATAAATTGGACCATATCGCTTGTAGTTATCTTAATATGTTATCATCACGAGGAATACAGTGTGGAATTCAAGACATAACCCGCGAGGCAGTGAGTGCGGAGCGACGGACAGCCACTTGCATCGATCATGTGTTCGTTAGAACTGTGAGCGCGTCAGAGGTGCAAGCGTATTTACTTACGAGTCCATTAGCTGATCATTACCTAACGGGACTCACCGCTGTTATAGGTAAGCGTATGCCGCAAAATGTATGCAAAACAAGTTTGAATAACAAAGCGATTGAGAAGAAATTAGGTGAACAATATTGGAATGAGCTTTTAAATTATGATGACCCTATC